ACACACACACACACACTATAAGTATACAAAGGTAAATTGCAGGGAGAACATCAAACATAGGGTTAATACTTGATGAGAGTTGCACCTCACATGCAAAGTGTGAGCAGTAGCTACAGCAACTCAGAGGAACGGTGGACTATCTGCTGCCTTGCTAATTTCCTGCTAGTATTCTTTTACATCTTTTTTTTGACAGTTTAGATAATCTACTTCTCTATACATTTACACTAATAAATATTTATCCTCCATGTTATTTATGACTAAATTCCTCTGGTGCTGCCACATTTATCTTCAGATCATAATGAGTACATGGTATATAATGTACTGTATACATTCAGTAATTATCTACTAGCTAACCTAAAGGAACATGGAATATTTAGTTATTTGAGAATATGAGGGGTATAGTGGCTAGTGTATCTTCCTAAAATGCAGTCGTCCAAGCATGATACTATGATAATCATAATTATATTTTTTTGACACAACATTTAAAAAATATATTTTTTCTTTACATTAAAAAATCCCATCAACAAACACAGAGGCTATCTGTATCAGCAGAAATCAGCTACTTCAAATATAGTTTCTTAATTTATGAGGTGAATTAAACATGAAAATGTCATGTTATGATATCCAGTAGCACAACTATTCATTCCTAAAAAAAGGTGTTACACTGAGTGAGATGCTGCTCCAAAGACACTGCAAAGAGCTGTTGAAAACCTGCTGGCCTATATTTAATTGCTTGCTAAAGTTTTTTGATGTCTGGAAAGACAGTCTCCAGAGAATCTATTAGCATCTACATTCATAAAGCTGTGAGGCTGAGCGGAGCATAAAGTCTGTGTACAAAGAAATATCCTAGTTAGTATGGCAAACACAACAAAAATGTGAGTTTTAGCAACTTGAATAATATTAGAATAATCAAACTTTTGTTTTGATGTTGACATATATTAAAATATGCCTTATAGCCCAGCAGGAATGCTGTGGGTATTTACACAGTATTTCTTTGGTAGAGGTTTTACAGGTCATTACATAAGAGAGTTAAGAGTGTGACCTTGCACAAGGCCTGTCACAGGGATCACAGGTCATGCAGATTAACGCAGGGATGTCTTACCCTGACTGATCCCAGATCGGATTGGGCTTGAACATTCACAGCTGACTGGAAGTATTGTATCAGCAGTTTCACTGGATTGTTGGGGGTTTGTGGAATTTTTTTTTTTAGTTCAAATAAAGTACATTTTATAGTGTGTATAGTATAGACTGTGCTTCTTTTATCGAGGTGATTAAAAAAAAAAAACTGAACAACAAACAAAACTGAATGGTAATATTTTGGAAATGTGTTTTCAACTCACCACTCATTGGACTGTAGCGTGGGAGAGTCGTTCTGTGCGATGTGATATAAGGCACTCATGGCATTCATGTTGAACAAGGGGGGTTTACGCTCCGCTAAAATAAGAAAAGATAGGAGGGTCAGACATAGATAGATAGGATAAGAGTAATTTTTAAGTAAGTTTTCAACCAATAACAAATCAGCTTCTTCTTGAATGAGGCAGGTGAACCCCAAAGTCTCAAAAGCATGCAGGAGCACATAAGATCAGTTTTTTGTCCTGCTGTTTTACAAATAATTTTTAATCAGCTTAAATCTTTGCAATGTTTGAGGTATGGGCCTATAAATTCATTCTGTGACCAGTAGGTATGTGTATGCTCACCCAGTTCAATACAGGTGATCCCTAGGGACCAGATGTCCACTTTCCCCTCATACTGACCCTCGTCCATGGCTAGGATCACTTCTGGGGCCATCCTGAGGACAGAGACACGCACATGCAAATGCACACACAGAGAGTTTATTAAGTATGGGGGGAAAAATCCATGAAAATGTTATAATCTGCTAAGCCTCTCAGAGCTTTTAAAGACTCTGGTATGCTCTGATAGCAGCTCAGTTTTTGGAATATATGTGTGTTTCTGTAAACGTGAAGTATGTGTGTGTGTGGAGTGTGTGTGTGTGTGCGTGAATTTAACATGACAAGTGAGACAAAGTTGTGTGCTGCTGTATTTTTGCATAATGAGAGTCCAGCTGTGATGTTCATTCACCACCAAAGTGGCATGAAGTGTGTAAGTGAATATTGGGTAAGGTAGAAGATTTCTATACGAAAGGCAAATAACAGACAACATTACAGTTACTTGTGTAAGAATATATAGATTGGCTGTAACATTAATGTAACATTACTGGCCTCATCAAGCTGTTAAAGTGCTGTCTTTTTGTCATTCAGACAAAGGTTTTAAATATGCAAATGTTATTTTTAGATATGACAGGATGTTTACCGAAAGAGGCCAAATGCTAGCACAATATTTTGCACCTGGTATGCAAGAGGGAGACCAGCAGTGGGTTGAAAACTAATAATATGAATAAGGAAAAGTGTTGTCACTTCTCTTATGGGCTGCATCAATGGTGATAATCTTTAGTACAAGGCAGGCTCATCCTCCTCTCCCTAATTCAATTTCTCATGAATTTCATCATTTATTAGTATTACTATGACCAACCTAAAATTGCTGTTGTGACTTTTATGTAAAAGGCACTTTATGACACTTAACACATGACCAACATATAAAATTGCCATTGCATTTATGTAACATGGTGCATGTAGTAATGCAATCTATGTGCCAACAAAAACTCTTCTCTCTCATCAGGTGTCAAAAATCCCTGACAGCACAATGCAAGAAACATGAAAAAACTGTAAAAACAAACAAATCCATAAAAGCGACTAACTTGTGTGTGAGTTGTGCCCTACTATACGTTTTGGCCTTTGCATACTGACCAGTAAGGTGTTCCCACAAAGGAGTTGGCAGGTGAGGCAATGGAGGCAGAGCCAAAGTCAGCCAGTTTGACCTGACCCAGCTCAGTCAGCAGGATGTTACCAGCTTTCACATCTCTGGGTGGGGAGAGGGGGAATGTGAGGGGCAGAGTGAGAATGTGAGGCATAGTTAGGCAAAGAGAAGATGTAGGCATGGTAGCCAAGATAAACCACATGAGTTCCAAGGATCTATTATGCATTATGATTTTTTCTCCATTTTAACCAACTGGTCACTGGTGTGGTGTGTATGTCATATATTCATTTTAATGAGTTTTATGTCATATGATGACACAGAACAGTCAAAGGGTTCATACGGCTCCATTGTTGGATGCTAATCATATTTATAGAGTTGTTACCTCCTCACAGCGATACTGAAGAAAGACGAGTACAGACATGAAGTTTTATAGCTTAATTGGTTAATGATGCAATAAAGGGAGAACATCTACCACCTCATCTTAACATGTTTTTGCTAAAGTCATTTTTTGTTCCTGTTGGGAAATGTCTGGAGCAAGGAAACTGACTGACTCACCTGTGAATCATATTATGGGAATGTAGGTAAGCCAGTCCTAGCAAGGCACCATGGGTAATGGCAGCAATTTCCATCTCTTGGAGTGGTTTCTTATGAACTTGGGGAGAATAAGTACAGTGGAAATGAGTAAGAACACACAATAGACTTGATGAAATATAACAGTTCTGCACAACAGACTACATAATAAACAAAGCTTCTGCATATAGTTCATGTCTGATCAAGGTCCTGGCAACCAAAACATCACAGTTTTAGTAATAAAAAATAACTATACCAATCTCAGCCCTGCTGATATAGCAAAAACAACCATATGGATAACACATATAAACAGCTGATATGGGCTCCTAAGCTGGCTCCCTGTGGACTGCTGCGGTAACACAGAGACTACGTGCCAAGGCAAAAGGTCACAGCAGAACTAAATTTCATAAAGGCTTAAGTCCCAAAAACAGGCCGGGTACAACTGTCATGACCATGTGTCTATGTCACTGATGAGTACACCCATAGGTGCTTAAAGTGACACATTAGGTTCAGGTCAGGAATGCTCAGAGGGTAAACAGTGAAGGAGGTAAAAACTTCGAAAGCTAAAATAGCTAACCTAGAAACTAAATGTAAGTAACACAAATGTGGTCTTCCATCAGTGTCAACTTTATGAATCAAAGTGCTCAATGTAATTCAATCAAATGTCAGACCATATAAGCATGCTAAATTCAATTACAAGAGCATAGATTCTGCAGTTACATTGTATTACCTTGCTCCAAGGACCCACATATATGAATATTGCTGCAGTGATTGACCCTGAACATGCATTCACACCAAACGTGTGAAGGCTAAGCATTTCTAAATGATAACGAATAACCACAGGAAACAGAACATGAGGTTTTATGGGTTTTAAGAAATGAATTCAGCCATCTGATAGCAGCCAGTTCCTCATGTCTAGAAAGTCGAGTAAAACCTCATGAACTAAGGTCATAATGTCATATGGAGCAATCTTTATATTTAGCTACTGAGATACAGAGAACAAAAATTAGGTCAACAATACAAATCTACATACATACATCTATACAAAGAGTCTACTGCAGTAAACTAAACACACAAGGACAAGCTTCTTTTGGCTTAATGACAGTGTCACATGCCCTAGCTCACATAGCATCAAGCAATGCGAACCAAAACCAAAAGTGCAGTAATGTTAACATTTTGGTGAATATAGCATAAAGGAGGGGCTCTCTCATCACTTGTCCCCATCAATACCTCAAAATGGTCGGATTTCAGTGGTCACATACTCACACACTATAAGATCTTTAGTGGAATTGTGTAAAATGTTAGGAATTACACTTTTTATGCTTTCTTGGTTAGAATGTCTACTTCTACATCATCCAAGACTGGAAACAGGGGGTAATCAGCTAGTCTGGTTTTGTCCAAAGGTAACAAAATCTGCCTACCACCACCCCTTACAGAATCTATTTTGTTTAATCTATACAATAACCTAAATGTAAAATCAAGTCTTGATTTTATTTCTAGGCTGGAAGCAGTGGCTCCCTGGAAATATGCTAAGATAAACACCCCGATATTGACAATACAAAACTGTTTTTGTGTGTGTGTGTG